GAGGGTCTCCCAGCACGGCCGGCACCGGCCGCCGCCCCCCCGCCCCCCCGCACTGGGGTCCCCCCCCCGCGGCTCTCAGGGGACTTGCCTCCGTGTCCTGAGGCCCTTGGGTCCCGCGGTCACAGGGACGGCAGGGGCCGCACTGCCCACCCCGCTCTGCCTGCAGGCGGGGCCCGGGGACCCCTGGGGGCCCCTCCCCGCAATCCCTGCTGCCCCCTCCCCCGCAGGTCCAGGAGGCTCCCGGGGGCCCCCTGCACATGGGCATGGCCTGGGCCCGGCCTGTCCCTGGTCCTGCCCCCCTGGGGCTCCCTTCCCGCCACCTGCCGGGTCCTCCGGGGCCGCTTGCAAGCGTCGTCGCCCGTGGCCCACTTTCTGATGAAAGCTGAACAATTAAAATAATCCGATGTGGCAATTCTGGAAGTCGCGCTCCACCCAGATGCGGGCAAGTGGCGGCATCGAGTGACACGCGGCGGGCACCCCGCGGTGCAGACCCCGGGCCTCCCCCTCCCGCACGAGCGCCCTCTAGGACCTGGGACTACGGTGGCGTGTCCCGCACCATGTGGACTTTCCTTCCAGCTTTTGGGTTCCGGCAGGTGCGCCCACTGTTACCACGGCCTCGGGCAACCGCAACTTCACGAAGCGCCTGGAGTTTCCAGCTGTCACCCAGGGCCAAGGCTCGTCCCTTGGGTCAGCTCTGCCTCAGGCAAGTGCAGAGGGTCACGGGTGGGGTCTTCCCAGAAACCACCCCACACCTCGTAGGAACACTGCTAGGAAAGGGCCCCATCCACGGCTGACGGGCAGGTGGTTGGCCCTGGGGCACGGGCTGCTCATCCCCAGGCTAGGACAGGGCGAGGCGTGGGGACGGCTCGGGCCACTCCCTGCAGCGGGCAAAGACGCAGGGGAAGTGGGTCCCAGTGCCCCACTGGCGCAACCACTGTGGACAACAGGGTGGAGGCTCCTTGAAATATCAGGTGCAGAGCCGCCACGCATGGGTGGACAACCCCAAAGATGGCAATGCAGGTGCTCAAAGGGATGTCTGCACACCCGAGTTCACAGCAGCACGACTGACAGCTGGAGGGCGAAGCCACCAGGTGTCCGTGGGCGGTGCGCCCGTGCAGCGTGGCCATAGCCTGGGATGGGACGACGTCCTGCCCCCAGCCTCCGCGTGGTGAGCCCCAGGGATGCTGCGCCCGCCCCGGGACAGATCCTGTGCGAGGGACTTAGAGACCCACAGGGGCGCCGGGCTGGGAGGGGCACGAACGGGCACTGTGGTTCAGACCCACAGTGTGGGTGCGTCTGGCAGGTGGCCGTGACGACCACGCAGCAATGCCACGGGTCTCACCCCTGAGCTGCGCCCTTAAAAATGGCCAACGCCGTCAACACACACACCCTGTGGCTCGCTGTCCTCACCACGGTTCCGCCAATTTTCCGGGTCACAGCAAGACACGGGAGACCGTGGGTGCATTTCCAGGGCGCTGGGAAGGGCCCGCTGCCGCTTCCGCCGCTTGGTCGCCGCCCTCGAGGGGAGCTTCTCAGGGGAGCCCCCTGCCACCCCAGGTGCACGGAGGCCGCAGCCCCCAGCGGAGGTCAACCTTAGGGTCCCAAGATCCCACCCCGCAGCTCCGCCCTGCGGCCTCCTGGGGAGAGGGGACGTGGGCGAGTGGCTGGCGCAGCGCGGGGAGGCTGGCCCACTGGCCCCTGCCCTGGGGGGGTCGCTGCAGGCCGCAAAGCCGCACCAGGACCCAGGCCCCACGGGCCATCGAGGCCCCACGCAGCAGCGGTGCCCGCGGGGGTGAGGGGCGCGGGTGGGGCCAGCAACCGGGCCTGAAATCACACTGGAAGCTCGAGGACCGCACCGGCGGGGACAGCCCCCGAGGCTATGTTAGAGCTTCCCTGTGCGGTTTGACTGAAAACAGCGCCGTGACAAGACGGGGCGCCACCCGGCTGCGGGGGCCACCGACCGAGATGCCCCTGAGGCCGACGGGGAGGGGCGTGTGTGCCGAGCCGGGTGTCTGGCGGCGGCCTGGCCGCGGCGACCGTGGGCTGGGCGGCCAGGGGAGCAGACAAAGTGGGCCTGTGCGCCCGCGGCCACCCCAGCGCCACGCCCGCGCCTGCGGAGGCCCTGAAAGAGCCCTTGTTCCAGCGGAGCTGCGGCCCGGCACCCTCGGGCGCACCCTGGGCGGGGAGCGCGGGCCGCCGCCCACGGGCAGGGGGTGAGGACGTGGAGCCCCCCCACACCCCCGACGGGCCTCTGGCGACCCGTGAGCCCGCAAAACCCGCCCCCACACCAGGTGGAAAGGATAGCACAGCTGCCGCAGCCACCCACGGCTACCCACGGCCACCCTGCACTCCCCGCCAACGCGAGCTGGAGTGGGCACACGGGGTGGCGTTGGAACATGGGGCGCTTGCTGCAGCCATTCACAGTGGGGGGGCCCGAAAGGGCTGGGGGCTTGGGTGTAGACAGCAGTGCTCTGTACTGGGGCACTGGGGGCTCTACAGAAGGCACAGGGGTGCAGACAGGGAGGACTGGGGTGCAGGGAGGGAGGGGTGCAGGGAGGTGGGGTGCAGATGGGGAAATGGGGTGCAGAGAGGGAGGTGGGGGTGCAGACAGGGGAGGATGCAGGGAGGCGGGGTGCAGATGGGGAAGTGGAGGTGCAGGGAGGGAGGTGGGGGTGCAGACAGGGAAGGGGTCCAGGGAGGTGGGTATACAGGCAGGGAGGTGGGGGTGCAGGGAGGTGGGGTTGCAGACGGAGAAGTAGGGGTACAGGGACGGAGGGGGTGCAGGGAGGTTGGAGTACAGATGGGGAAGTAGGGGTGCAGGGAGAGAGGTGAGGGTGCAGACAGGAAAAGAGTGCAGGGAGGTGGGCCTACAGGCGGGAAGGGGGTGTAGGGAGATGGGGGTGCAGTGAGGCGGAGTGCAGACAGGGATGCGGTGCAGGGAGGTGGGGGTGAAAGGAGGTGGGGGAGCAGACATGGATACAGGGAGGGAGGTAGGGTGCAGCGAGGTGGGGTGCAGACAGGGATGGGGGTGCAAATGGGGAAGGGGTACAGAGAGGTGGGGGAGCAGGCAAGGAGGGGGGTGCAGGGAGGTGGGAGTGCAGGGAGGTGGGGTGCAGACAGGGAGGGGGTACAGGGAGGTGGGGTGCAGACAGGGAGGAGGTGCAGTGAGGGGATGCAGGGAGGTGGGGTGCAGACAGGAGGGGGTGCAGATGGAGGAGTTGCAGGGAGGTGGGATGCAGACAGGGAGGGGGTACAGGGAGGGGGATGCAGACAGGGAGGGGGTGCAGGGAGGTGGAGGTGCAGGGAGGTGGGGGTGCGGAGGCCTGAGTGGCAGCCACAACCTGAGCCCCGAGAACTGACTGGGCAAGAAGCGACCTGGAGGGACCCGGGAATTCGGAACCAAGCTAGCACCCCGCGTGAACTATCCTGCCTGCGCAGCCCCTCGGCCGCCTGCGGGGCGCCCCCGGCCCCCGCCCTGAGCGCCTGGGGGTTCTCACCCGGGGCTAGCGCACGAATGGCTCCCGTTGGCGAGGGGCACCGCCCAAACAGGACGAACGCTCTACGGAACTGTGCTTCTGAAAGCAGAGGTGGCAAGACCCTGCACCCTGGTTTCCAGGGCAAGAGCGGGGGGCAGGGGGTCCGCAGCTGAGCCGACTCCCTCCTGGCCATGGGGCCCTGCCCCCGCCTCTGCACCTGTCGAGTGCCCTGGGCCATGCCCTGGGGGGCGCCTGCACCGAAGGAGGCGGAGGCCTCCCAGGAGCCCCCCCACGGGCCTAGGCTCCCCGGGCAGCCCGTCGCCCGGGCACCCTGGAGTCCAGGGGCTTTCCACGTGGGTGTGGGGCTGCCGGGACAGGAGAACCCCGTAAAATGGGCAAGCCCGAGGCCGCCACCGGACTGTGGGCCACCTGGACGCGGGCCCCGGCCCACCTCCTGCTTTGTGTCCACGGAAAGGGGCCACCGCGTGTCAGGGAGAGCGGGCGCAGGTGCCCGGCCGGTGCTGCGGGGCGCCCTCAGCAAGCAAGCGCGGGCACAGGTGGGGGCCCGGCGCCCCCCACAACGCCAGGCAGACCGACGGGCAGGGCCGTGGAACCAGGCCGCTGTGTCGCGCGGGCTTTCTTTTTGAAGAATGTAGTTGGTTTCCGTGAAGCGTTGTGCTGTTTACGTTAAGGCATTTTCCTTCGAGAGCAACTTGCTGCGCTCCGAGCGTTTCCGTTGTGGTTTCAAATAAGGGAGGTTCGGAGCTCTTGGGGCTCCTGTGGACTTGGAACAGCGGGGGGTCCCCGAAAGCAGAGTTCGAAAGCCCTGACTTAGGACCCGTGTGCAGCCTGATTTCCATGAAGTGCGGCTTAGGTCATTTGTTTGCATTCTATTCGCGTCGATTCTATTTATTCCGTCGCCGCCACTGGAATGTCAGGCGCGGCCAGAGCTCCCAGGCTCTCCGCTTAGCCTGAGGCCTCGGGCGGGCGCTCGGCCGGGCTCCCCGCTCCCCGGCGACCCGGGTTCTGGAAGCGTCTTCCCGACGGCGACGGCGCAGCGAGGGCCCTCGCCAGCCCGGCCTCCTTCTGCAGGCGCTGCCCCCCGCGGCCGCCTGTGCCCAAGGGCCTGCGGCCCCCCGCTGCCCCGGGAGGCCCCGGCCCGCGCGTGGACGGCGGCTGCTGCGCCCCGTGGGCCGCGCGGCCGACAGCCGGGGCCCGCCCGGGAGCCGGGCGTGTGGCCCACGGGCCGAGCGAGCGGGACCCACGTCCGGGCAGGAACGCGGCCCTCGGGCCCCGTGGGGGACGGACCCCGGCGCTCCCGGCCCTCCCGCCTCCCCGCCAACCGCGGGGCCAGCACCTCCAGGGGGACCCGGCGCCGCGGGGGGGCCGGGAGGCCCGAGGGCGGGACGCGGGAGGGAAGACAAAGGAAGGGGTGCGGCAAGTGGCAGGCGCCCGAGGGAGGAGCGTGACCTCAGCGCCAGAGACGCATCTGCTCGGCGGCGCCGGAGCCAGAGCCAGAGCGAGGCGCGCAGCCCCGGGAGCCCCCGCCCTGCCTCCCGCCCGGCTCTCGGCGGCCGCCGTCCGTGCGTCCCGGGCCGTGGGCCGGCCGGTGCTCTGCGCCCGCGGGGACCCTCCGCGGCCCGGCCGCCAGCCCTCCCGCCGCCGCCGCTGCTCGGTGAGTGCCGCGCCCGCCCGGCCCCGAGGGGGGAGGCCTGCGCCCGCGCCGGGCACCCCCCCCCCAGGCTCCCGGACCGAGGGCAGCGCGAGCTGCGGCCCCGGGGTGCGCCCGGGCACGGCTCCCGCACGAGGCCACGGGCGGGCTCCACATCCCCGAGGGGCTTGGAATCCAGCCCGAGCCTGACCCGGCTTTGCTTTCCGGGATGGGGCTCCGCTGGGCCGCGGGGGGGGGGGGGCAGGGGGGGCGGTGTGAGAAGGGAGCAGGGGTGCGGGGTGCGGAGGGGCGGCACTCCGGGCCCGCGGGGCCAGCTGGTGGTGTTCTCTCCGCCATCCCAGGTCATGGGAGCCCCGGGGCAGGCCACCGCCCGCGGCAGGGCCCTGTGGGCGCTGCTCCTGACCGCGCTGGGCTGCGCCGCGGGGCGGCCGCGGGGGGCAGAGTCCGTGTGCACCGCCCGGCCCCTGGCCCGGTACAGCATCACCTTCACGGGCAAGTGGAGCCAGGCGGCCTTCCCCAAGCAGTACCCCCTGTTCCGGCCGCCCGCGCAGTGGTCCTCCCTCCTGGGTAAGCCCCCGCTGCTCGCCCTGCAGGGGGACACTCTCCTGAGCTACCTCAGCGCCACAAATACCTGCGGGCACCTCCTGCTGGGTGCGGGCAATGCCCTGGGGTGCGGGGGGGCTGGGGGGGTGGATGCTGGTGACCCTGGGGAGGGCGCAGGGAGTGGGGGGAGCAGGGCGGCTGTCCTCGGGCCATGCCCTGGGGTGCAGGGGCGGGGTGGACGCTGGTGACCCAGGGGAGGGCGCGGCGCCGGGCCGCTCGCCCCCGCACCCCCAGGGGCGGCACACAGCTCCGACTACAGCTTGTGGAGGAAGAACCAGTACGTCAGCGACGGGCTGCGGGACTTCGCGGAGCGCGGCGAGGCCTGGGCCCTGATGCGGGAGATGGAGGCGGCGGCGGAGAAGCTGCAGAGCGTCCACGAGGTGTTCTCGGCGCCCGCGGTGGCCAGCGGCACCGGCCAGACGTCGGCGGAGCTCGAGGCCCACTCCCGGCACTCGCTGGTGAGCCGCGGCGGGCGGGGGTGGGGGTGGGGGTGGGGCGGTGGCCGCCGCCACCTGCTGAGCACTCCCCCCCCCAGGTGTCCTTCGTGGTCCGCATCGTCCCCAGCCCAGACTGGTTCGTGGGCGTGGACAGCCTGGACCTGTGTGACGGGGACCGCTGGAGGGAGCAGGTGGCCGTGGACCTGTACCCCTACGACGCTGGCACGGACAGCGGCTTTACCTTCTCGTCCCCCAACTTCGCCACCATCCCGCAGGACACGGTGACCGAGGTGAGCGCCCCGCCGGCTCCGGACCGTCCAGCAGGTGGCGCCCGGCCGGCGCGCAGCCCGTTCCCCGCCGCACAGAAGCCGGTGCCGGCGGGTCCGCGGTGCGGGGGAGGGGGGCGGAGTGATGTGCCCCCCCCGCACGAGCACCCCGCTCTGGCCGTGCCGACACCCCGCTCTCTCCACAGATAACCTCCTCCTCTCCCAGCCACCCTGCAAACTCCTTCTACTACCCCGGCTGAAATCCCTGCCCCCCATCGCCCGAGTGACCCTGGTGCGGCTCCGGCAGCACCCCAGGACCTTCGTCCTGCCCGCCCCGGGCCCAGTGGGCGGGGGCAATGAGATCCTGGACAGCCTCTCAGGTGAGCCTGGGCCCACCCCGCTGGCGGGAGCAACTGCGGGGGGCACCTGCGGGAGCATCTGCGGGAGGACCTGCGGGAGCGCCTGTGGGAACACCTGCAGGGAGGACCTGCGGGAGCGCCTGTAGGGAGCACCTGTGGGAACAGCTGCAGGGAGGACCTGCGGGAGCACGTAGGGGGAGCATCTGTGGGAGCACTTCAGGGGAGCACCTGGGGGAGCACCTCCGGGAGGATCTGCGGGAGCCTGGCCCGACTCCCCCGAGCCTGGGGCCCGTGCGGATTCCTGGGAGGCCCTGGCGTCCCGCTAGCTGCGCGGGGGTAGAGACACCACTCAGGTTCGCGGGTCCCACGGGGACCGTGACAGGGCGGCTGCGGGCTGCCCCGCACGCGGGAGGCCCTTACGTCAGGCTTAGAGTAATCGTCGATGGCGAGTGGCCACCACGCGGAGACAGAGTGACCCTCGGGGTCCAGAAACTGCCCCAGACGGGGCCGGCGTGACGCGCGCAGCCGGGGGGGGGGGGGGCAGGGCCGCGGGGCGGGGCGTCACGCGGGGACGGGCCGTGTAGGGTGTCGTGCATCCGGGGGCTCCGCGCGCTCAGCACGGGACGCGGTCCTGCGGGCGCCTCTGGGGGCTGGGGCTCGGGACCGAGATGCTCCTCTTGCCCGGCGTCCCCGGCGTCCCCGGCGTCCCGGCGCCCCGGCTCGGGAGCCCCGCCCGGAGGGCCTCGTGGCCGAGCTTGCTGACGCCTGTGTCCCGCCTGCCAGGCCCCGAGACGCCGCTGGACTGCGAGGTGTCGCTGTGGTCGCCCTGGGGGCTGTGCGGGGGTCCGTGCGGGCAGCTGGGGGCCAAGAGCAGGACGCGCTTCGTCCGCGTGCAGCCCGCCAACCACGGCGCCGCGTGCCCGGAGCTGCAGGAGGACGCCGACTGCGTCCCCGACGCCTGCGTCTGACGCCCCCGCGGCCTCGGCCCCCGCCGGGCCCCGCTCCCCGTGGCTCCGGGGCGGGAGCCTCGCGCGACACGCGCCTCCTTCCAGAAGCTTCCCTCCGGGGCGCGTGCCCGGCTCCTCCCCCCCGGGGGGCTCGGCCCACGCCGCTCGGAGCCGGACGCGCGCACGGACGCCGGGCCTGGCACGCGGTGCCCCAGGGCGGCCTGCGGAGAGCCCCGGGGGCGGCGTGACGCGCCTCGGACCTGCGCCCCGGGCGCGCACTCGCCACGGCCCCGCCCGCCCGTCGGGCCCAGACCCCCCCCCCCCGCCCGGGGCGCGGAGAGGGGGAGAGGGGCGGACGCCCGCCGCCTGTCCCGCCTCCCGTACTTGAATAAAGACCGACTCCTGAGCTCAGGGGCCCTCGTGTCGCGTTGCCTGCGAGGGCGCTGGGCGGGGCGCGGCCGGAGGAGGGGGCCCCGGGGCCCCCCCGGAGCCCAGCGGCGGCCCCCCCGACAGGCCCGCCGGCTCCCGGGTCAGCCCCCTGGGCCCTCGTTTGAGCTCACGGTCGGGCCTTGCGCGGCAGTACGGATCCCACGGGGGTCCCCCAGCCTCGGGCCGCGCCGGTCCCTCAGGGGACGACCAGAAGACGGGAAAGCCTGTTCCTGGGGACCCTTCCAGAACATTCTTCTTCTGCTTGGACACCTGCGGCATCAGATCCAGCAGCTATCCATCTCCCCCATCCTGTCCACTCTGCTTCCCTCTCCCCTCCCCTCCCCCCTCTTGGTCCTGTCCACTGTCCCCTCGATGCTCCCGCTGATTCTGAGCCACTGCGCTTCCACGCAGAGACCCCTCTCACCTCTGCGTCTCTTTCTCAAGATCACACCTCCCCAGCCCCCTCCCACCCAGTCTGTGAGGGGCCCTCGTGGATCCCACACACTCAGACCTGGGCGGCTAGACCGTCCCCACCCGCAGGAGCAGCCTGGGCAGGACACCGCTCCCAGCCTTGCACACACTCGGCGCCGTCCCTCTGAATTTCCTCCCATCTTGTCCCCGACTCGGTCATTCTCAGCAGCCAACGTCTGCCTCTCCTACCTCGGGAAGCTCTCCTCCTTCCCCCTTCCCCATCAAGTCCTCCTGCCCAGAAAGGATGCACCCCGCTTCCTGTTCCCAGTATCTCCCTCCATTGAGAGCCCCTCTGCTGCCATCGGGGGCTGCACGTCCCCTGCTCCGTGGCACCTGGGGACCACGCTCCTTGCTCTTTGTCCTCCCCGTCTGGGCAACACCAGGCTTGACCCCCACCCCACCCCTACCACCTGCCCTCCCCCACCAGACAGGCAGGGCTCCTTCCCCACCTCTGGATGGCGCCCCTCTGCCCCCCACCCCCTACCCCACCCCCCACCATTCCTCTCCCCAGAACAGATATATATCCCCGGTGGTCCCCTTGACTCTAGACCTAGGGGAGGAGGAATCAGTGTAAACAGCTGCGTGTGACCCTTCCTCCCCCGACAGGGAGTGGATTCACAGCCAATACGTTGGGCATGTCCTGCCGAATAGATGGGGGGGTGAGGAGGGGCTCCCCTGTGAGGTGTTCTCAGACGTTCCCTGTGGATCTCTGCACCCCTCACTGGGCACAACTGAGATGCTCCATGATACAGTGCTTTCCAGTGGTGGGGTACCAGCCTGTGCCCCCCACCCCAGCCGAGCACCCCCCACCCCAGCCGAGCACCCCCACCCCAGCCGAGCACCCCCGGGGAAAAGGGGGGGATGCAGCGTGTAAGGAGGTCCAACCCCCTCCCACTGCCAAGCGCCCAGGGTGTGGGGGGGACCTGCAGCCTGTAAGGAGGTCCGACCCCCTCGCCTCGGCCAAGGCCCCCCACGGATGAGCCTCCCTGCATTTCAGTGGAGCGCCACCCCAGGTAGACTCGTGAGGGTCTTGCAAGCACGAAGTTCGGTCTGTGCTCCTGGACACAGTCTGCCCGTGGGGCAGCAGACTCCCCACACACAGCCTGGGGTGCAGGGTGTGCACATGGGGACGGCGTGTGCGGCCCGGCCAAGAGACACAGATGGCAAATACCTGCTGAATGAACGAGGCACTCAGCCCACTGTGTTTGTCTTGCAAGAGTCCTGGTGCTGAGCCCCCGCACATAGGAGACCAGATGAGACCCCTCCCAGGAACTGTCACATGCGTGTATAGGAATGACCGAGAGGTAGGAGGCAGGGAGTCCCCTGGGGGCTGAGGCAAGAAGCCGCGGGAGCCAGGCTCCGCCTGGGATAGCTCAGCTGGTCTTGGCACCCTTAGCCTGGGGCATCTGAGGCCCTAGGGGCGCCGGCCCGGGGTGGGGGGGGCAGCAGACAGAGGGCGCTACCAGGGCACAGCCTCTCCTGCATTTGGATCCTGTCCAGAGAAGAAAACAATGATCCCCGGCAATTCCTGAATAGAAGCCCAGACCCCAGGGGCATGAGGTCTGATTACAGCAGCGATCTGAAAAACCCTTAATTAAAACTTGCTGGAGTCTTGAGCTGGACTCGGGATTCAAAGAATCCCCTCAGGAGCAAGAACTCCCAATGAAAGTCACAATCACGTGAGAAAACCAGCATGACCGCTAAATTGGAGGAAACAGCAAACTGCGAAATCAGAACCAGAAAGCCCTTCTGGGATGATCACAAAGAGGACGCGATCAGCCATGCGGGCTGTTACCCAAACCTGCGCTCAGAACTCAGGCGGAGGGGCGCCTGCGGGGCTGCGGCCGTGAAGCATCTGCCTCCGGCTCAGGTCAGCATCTCAGGGTCCTGGCATCGAGCCCCACGAGCCTGCTTCTCCATGTCCCTCTGCCCCTCCTCCTGGATTGTGCTCGCTCTCTCTCAAATAAATTTAAAAAATCTTTTTAAAAAATCTCAAAAGTATACACAGAACTGAGCACGTGACTACAGAGCAACTGAAACGCTGGACTCCACACCCCAGTTAGTGACGAGGCTGTGGGCCGCTGCAGGGGCTGGAGGGTGCTGCGGGGACTCTGGATGGCCAGGCGGGGGGGGGGCCTTGCAGCACCCAGCCCCCCTCCCTCCTTCTGGAGCACGGCGTTGGGGGGGGCTCCGGGGGGTGACGAATGCCACTCTTTGGGGCCAGAACATGTACTGGCCCCAGACGCTCTAGACTCGAGCACAAGCCAACACGGAGGCGCCTGTGCAGAAGCCACCCCGGGTCTGACGGCGGAGGACAGCTGCCCTAGTGAGCGCGGCCTGCGGCCCACTTAGAAACAGCCGCGGTGTGCCAAGGCCCTGCGATCTGGGGGGGCGGCAGGGTTGACAGTAGACCGGTTCACGAGGCCTGCACGGAGGACGCTCACGCTTCGTGCCAGAGGCTCTGGGCACTGCTGGCCCTGGTCCCCACCCTGCTGCTGGGGGGGCTGCTCCGTCAGGAAGGGGGTCACCCTCGTTGACCAGCCTGCTCTGAGCAGAGCTCTCTGGTGATCAGTGAGGATCCAAGGGCCCTGCTGTGTTGGGGAGGCGACCCCCCCCCCCCGCACTGAGGGAGCGGGCTCCCTGCAGGTGAAGAGCCGAGCATCGAGCATCACAGGAGTGAGTGCTTTCGAGGGGAAGATAACTCCCCAGTGGTGTGGCGGGGGCCCTGGGGAGGTGTTAGGAGCAGCAGGGACGGGGCCCTGGGGAGGTTTTAGGAGCAGCAGGGAGGAGCAGAGGCAGATGAGGAAGAGAGTGAGAGGCCCGGGCACTCACCCGAGGGAGGGGCAGGGCCGGGGATGCAGTGGAAACGCCAGAAGAGGATGAGGCCAATGGGAAGGCAAGAGGGTGGTTCGTGGAGCATCGCCTAATGGTCCCCAGGTGGCTCGGTCAGCCCCTTCCTGGTCCCAGCATTAAGTCCTGCATCACCGTCTCGCCCGGACGGCCCCCCTCCTGAGGCCTGGGGCTCCACGGTCCCCTACCGAGCGAGCTGGCCGGGGCACCCGAGCCACAACCGCAGGCCTCTCACTGGGCTAGAAAGGTGCCTGCTGGGCTCCCAGGGCCGGGGCGGCAGGACCCAGATGAAGGGCGGAGGACCCCGGGAGCCAGGCCACCGAGCTCAGCTACCTGGCAGGCCATGGGGCCTGGGCTGCGCAGTCAGAGGGCAGGGCCTCGACGGGTGACGGGCGGCCTGCTCAGCGGAGGGAGGACGGACGACACAGACCTAAGGCCACTGAAACGGCGGAGAAAGGACAGGGATCCGGCTGGCGGGCTCCCCTTGGACGCTGCGTCTGCCTGGGCATCTGGGCACTTCCCGGCTCGCCCGCCTGTGCCCTGACTCTGGGTGGATGCGCCAGGCCCCTGCTCCCTTCATCACCGGTGGGGAGAGCCCACTCCCTCCTCCTGCCTCCCAAACCCAGCAGAGCGAACCACTGCCGGGTCCAGGAGCAGAGGAGAGCGGGTGCCCACATGAGCGAGCGGGTGAGCCGCCGGGAGAGGCAGAGTCGGGAGGGCAGCCCCGGCACCCGTGCCCAGCGGCCTCCAGCTCAGCAGCCTCCAGCCTCCAGCCTCCAGCCCGCAGCTTCCACAGGCGCACAGCTGACCGCTCTGCAGGGGCTTCACTCCGCGTGGGGCCCTGGCGCGGAGCCACGAGCCAGCGATGAGAGCAGCACAAACCCACCCGTTAAATAGGAAAACAATTTGCTACGGAGGAAAGTCAGCAGGAAAAAGGCCCCCAGAGGCCCGTTCATCCAAGATCATAGACACCGGAAGGGTCAAGAAGGCCTATGAAACGGGTGCGAGAGAAGCGGCCAACTGACCGGACGGCAGGAAACAAGCAGAGCTATCTGGAAGGGACGGGCTGCAGGAGGCTAAGGTGACAGCCCCCCAGAGCCCCCCTAGAACCCCCAGAGCTCCCTAGAGCCCCCCGGAGCCCCCAGAACCACCTGTAGCCACCCAGAGCCTCCTAAAGCCCCCCAGAGCCCCCTAGAGCCCCGTGGAGCCTCCTGGGAGCGCAGTGGAGATGCTGGCCAGTGAGCAGCACACAGACGGAGAGAGAATCAGCCAAAGATACAGAAGGTGAAATGAGGGGTTCTAGAACTTTTTACATGAGACACTCCAGAGGACGCGATGGGGACTGGGAGCCCCGCTCATCCAAAGTGAGCTCGGAGCAAAGTGTCAGAAGCTGCCAGGACGAAGGGGAGCTCCAGGACCAGGACGCACAGCATGTCCCGCAGCACAGCGGAGGAACGCGCGTCCACACGGCCCAGGGAACCGCTGAGCCGCCACCGGGGAAGCCTTGGGGAACGCGGCAGGGAGGCCACTGAGCCCTGAAAGGAGCCTGTGGGGACGAGGGCAAGGTCCCGGCAGCACCAGGCACCAC